CAAAAATGAATTTAGTTACACTTAGTAAAAAAAACAGAAGGACAGGACAGTGAAGCTAAAAATGGTAGAAAGGATGAAATGAAAAAGCTACAAAATAAATGGAAAATTAAGCACGGAAACGAAGGGAAATAAGTATACTACTCAAGTCTCTATTTGCAACTAAAACCTCAAACTTTAGGCCTCCAGCTTCTCTAAGCATCCTACGGAAATGTTTTCAGTATACTAATTTATATGCCTATTTTAATATTTGGGTTTTAAAAGCTTTATTCCCTGAATGGAAGCAATGGTTGGACGAGCAGTCAAGGGGGCAGACAGAAGGGCACCGCACCCCTCCCAGCGCACCCCTCGCAGCGGTGAGCGGCCCAAGGGGGCTGGAGGGACACAGCTGGCTCCGCAGACCAGAGGAAGAAGCACGAGGTTCATTGCTCCCTCTGGGAGTGCCTGGGGAGGGTGAATGGTGAAAATGGCTCCAACTCTGCGGGGTGTCAGCTCCACGCTGAGTGCATCTGGAGTGCCGCATCTACTGCACGCATACAGAGTAATCCAAATACACACACATGCTAGCCCAGGCCGTGGGGACAGGGAGGAGCCCAGAGCATACGACACTCCCTTCTCCTGGGAGGAAATTATTCGGCTTCTTTTACCACAGACGTTCACTGGCATTTGCTTCGAAGAATAAACTCCTAAGTAGACTGACTCTCACAGTAGCTATAATTAACCAAAATCAGGAAACATTGTCCTTGGGGGAAATTGGCCCAGATAAGGTCCCAAGGGGAAAGTTGTGGCTTCAGGTCTTCAGGATCAAACACGATGACACCAATTTAGGGAATTCTGCATCCAGTATTGTCCATTTTAATCCAAGAATTTATTGCTATGCTCACCAAACTCAGCTGATGGAGGAGTACGCTGTCCAAGGACAGTGGCACGTTCCTTTACACTCTGATGTCTATTTTTGCCAATTTGGGTAATACTTGAAAGAAGCTGCATATTACAAAAAGGGTACATAAAATGTATAGATACATTTTGATTTTAAAGCCATAAAGCACCATAAAATCAACTAATGTCACCAGTCGGAGGGGCACCACCAGCCTCTGAACTTTATCCAGCTACTTCAAGATCGAATCCTATTGTTTGTGTTTGACACCACCACATCTTCCAGAAATACACTGTCTGGATTGGAAGACTGCAAGTGATGGAGAATTCACCATTTCCTTTGATATTCCTTTCATTAATTCTTAATCATCTTCACTGACATAAATCTGTGCCTTTTCCCACTTGAATGAGCCTGTTTTTTCTTCAATACATTAATCTTTATTATGTCTCTTTCCACTACATTAAAGACCCTATTTATGTTCTCCCAGAAAAAGTATACAGGCTTAACAAAGTAATTTTCTCTATATTGATTTTGACATATCAGAAAAATCTCCCCATTGTCAACAGCTGCTGCACAATTGCAATAACTGCATTATTGATTGCTGAGTGGCTATAACTAAGATAAGTGCTCAAGAAAGCCAGAAAGAAAATCATCAGCTTAAAGTCACACTAACATTAGTTACTTTACAACACAAAGCTTTAATTTATGACCCTTCTTTCTGATACTCAGGCCTGGTTGCATTCTTGGTGAAATTACCTTGCCAAAATCCAGAAGCAACTTCATCAATGGTTAACGAGACCATAATCTTTTCTTTTAAGGGCATACTGAATTTATTCTGGCCATATATTGTTCTTTATTGTTACCCTTTATGGACCAGTTAAGACAATTTGATGTTAATAATTGTAAGATGTTGAAGTGTGTCAGTCTTACCATTAGATGATCATTTACAATCATTAACTCAATGTATTTTGTTTCCTCTTCAACTTTACGTGGAATCTGACGAACCTATGGAGAGAGTACAACTATAAGAGAGTCTAACAGAGTACAGAGAGAGTGTAACTGGTAACTAGAAATGGCTTCAGAAACCAAACTTCTCATGCATATGTTTCTTCTATTGTCTTAATTCTGGTCTCAGATATTGATGAAACTTCTGGTGCTTAGTTGCATCATTTTAAAAAATTCTTTCACCTCCACCAGGACATTTATATGGCCTTAAACAATGAAATCAAGTCTCTCAACCCATCTAATCCCAAGTTTAGGTTTTTTTGAAAGAAAGAGAATCCTAAGTGGGGCCTGTATCTCTAAAAATGGCTCGTGTCAGCTATAAACTTTTTTTTCCACAGAGAAAGGGATCCCTCCTGCATTCTTTATGAAAAATCTCTGTAACAATTCTATTATTTATTCGCACACTGCTCAATTCACACAGTGAACGCAGTACTCACTTCTGTGTTACGCTTACTTTGCATTTAGAAACATTTACGACTGTGCTTCTTCATGGTGTCCTTGTTTTCCTGGGTTTTCCAGGAGAGTTATTACATCATTATGATTTAAAAATGCAGAGTAATGGCTAGTTTATAGAAAGGTAGCAAACCACCTGATATAAAGTAAGACCCTCAAGAATGACTTCTGGAATTTCTCCAATGTCTTTCTCACTTCTCTTTTGCCTCTGAGAGGCTTGCATTCGGTAGAGGTGTTAAAGTCATCTTCCTCTCCCACTGCTCTCGGTATTTCATTTTTGCCTGCACTGTTCAGCCCCCCTGACCTGGCTCTGTTTTGACCTGTACCATTATTTGAGCTCCACTCCTAAAATGCAAAGAATTGCTGCTATCTTTCCAGGGTACAGACAAACAGATCTGCACTTAGTGGCTCCCCCACTTTAATAAACAGGGAATGAACTCTCAGTTTAGAAAATCTATATTAAATCAAAGTGAGATAAAGTAGCTACTTGTCACCATTGCAACATAAAAAATATTTGTAAATGTTTCATTAATTGGGAGTTTCTGCTAAAACTCTATACTCAAAATGAGAGAAGATATTTTAGCTACTTTTTCATTTGCAATTTAGCAGTGCTTAACAATTTTATAACTCTTCAGGTAGGCAATGTCCAAGAGACTCCAACAATGTTTTGTCAACGTTAGATACCTCTTTTTGTAATAGCTGTATTGATATAGAGACCTCATGCCAAACCAGCAGCAGCAGCAGGACTCCATCTAGACAAATTAATTCAGCAGACACAAAACAAACTTGATGGCATATTACTTGTGAACAAGCATATTGGTACATACCTGCCTTTTACTTCTTTTGTGTCTTGGCTTTACAACAAACTTCTGCGTTGTAGTATTCATTTGCCAGAACTCTAAGCAGAAAACACAGGCAAATACATTGAACGTTTACAAGAATATAGCCCAACAACTAGTGACCCTGATGCCACATGAGAGTAGCATGGCATTCCTCCGCACATCAGATGTTACCATCAGATGAGGTAACAACTTTTTTCAAGTTTCCAGCTAGAAAGGAAGCAACATTACAGATGCTTCCCAGTAACAGGGTTCTTATTAAAAACTCTACTAGTGATAATCTGGGTCTGCTGAAACAGATGATCTGTGGGTGTCACGCTTCAGAAAGCGCAGCAGATGTTCTACGCCAAAACTTCACCAACACTGGGCATGTAATATTATTAGCACAGTGCCTCCATGGAGTGAATCACATTTTCAGGAATTCAGCAGACGTTCACAGAGCTCTCACAATAGCTACCTAAATTAATAAGAAGAGCACGGAAGGCAGAATTAATGCTTTAAGATTATTATATTCACAAAGTAAAATATGTTAGGGTTGGGAGAAACCTTATGAGATTTTGGCAATGCTCACTATCAATACAATATTCCTCCCCGCTATTCCCACTGTGTCTTTAATTTCTTAAACCTCTAATCATAAGCACGAAGTAGTTTATTCTTTTGCCAAATCCCTTTCACCAAATCTATTACTAGCCACTCACAGAAAGGGACATATTATAAACTAAGCAGAAAACAATACTTGCTCTCACCCTTTTAAATGTCCAACAAGTATTTTTCCATCTTTAATTTTAGATTCATAGTCCCTGCCTCACTTTTCTCTATGCAATAGAAACATCTTCCCTTATGTTGTATAAACATGTTTATTATTCACATAACCCCAAGAAGATCTTTTTGAGACATGTAAATTAAATGTTTGCAGTTGCTTATTTTGTAATATGTCTTTTCCCTTTGTCCCCTCCTTTTTACTTTCTCCAGCTTTGGACATCCTTTCAGTCTCCAGGGATCAAAAACTGCTTTCAGTATTCCAGAGTGATTTTATCAATCCTGCAGAGAAGTAGACAGTACTATAGGAGCTGTGTAAATTAAGGGACATTCAGTTCATGTACCTTTGTACACAACTTTTGGTTGTGTTACAAAATCCTAAACAGTTCAGTTTCCTTGGTGAGACAGGAAAGTTTCTCACAGCTCCACCTCCCACCTGCTGTACATTAACTGTGCAATTTCTGCATGAGGTTCAAACAATAGGATTAAAAACAATGCTGATAGGAATTTGACAGTGCTGCCATATCAACAAAACCTTAAAACACAAAGCTGAATTGCCCATCTGGCAAAACATTACCAGGCGTAAGTGCTAATCTTAACCAGGAGTGGCTAGTTACTGATAAGACAAACCAGGAAAGCAAAGCATGACTAACTGGTACGGTCTTGGCTAAATCTTGGGGATTAAACTGTCATTTTGGTATGTGAAGTTTGCAGATACCTTTTTGTGAAGGGGCCTGGACAATCATAGGCCCTTTGCTTAAAAATGTTTTTATGGTTACACCAGTGCACTTGAGGATTTTCTTTACAAAAAGGATCTAAAATAAATTAAATCACATCCAAGGGTCCCTTTTTATTGCTTAAAGACCTGCAGTCTCTGAAGCTCACAATGATGAGAAACTACATCTTGAAAATTTTTTTACAAATTTGTTTTTAATTATGCTTTACAGATGTTGATTAATTTAGTCTGTGTTCTAGTGCCAGTCAACTGGCTCTCAACCTGTCATTTTAGGTTTTATATCATGGTTAATGAAACTGGTAAAAATACAACTTTTCAATTAATAAAATAATAATTTACAATATGTATATAGGGTCTCAGATAACTTTACCAGCAAATGCGATTGTTTTACCTACCATCGGAAGTCAGTCATCTCTAGAGAGGAATGATGCAGTCATTAACATTAACACATTAACACACATTAACACTGCACTATAATTCACAAGCTGGACGAATTCACGCAGGGTGCATTTCCAGCCAGGGACCCTCAGGCAAAAGAACATGACCAGCAAAATCACAGGACATGTAGATAGCTGAGAAAGCCTAGCAGAAATTTTGATGGGAACATATTACCTTGAAAAAGTGTAACGAGGATTCATAGAATCATAGAATCATTTAGGTTGGAAAAGACCTTTAAGATCATCGAGTCCAACTGTAAACCTAACACTGCCAAGTCCCACTAAACCGTGTCTCTAAGTGCCACATCTACACGTCTTTCAAGTGACCTCAAAAGAAAAGGACATCTGTTATGCATTATTTGAAAATCAACGCCTTCAATAACATGGTGTTGTCTAAGACCATGCCAGGGCACTATATGTCTCAATACAGATTGTGAGAAAAAATACAGTCTACTAAATTATGAAGTCAAATGCTCTAAGCATGCCAAGTCATCCATCCAAGCTTTCCTTGTTTAAAGTCCTTATTACCTCCTCAGACCATTGCAAAGTACAGTACAATTAATTCTTTTCTGCAATAGCTTTTTTTTTTTTTTTTAATACCCAAGGAGCAAAAGAATGTAAAAGTACATTGCTATTGAACTGTGGTATAATAGTGTGTGTGCTTTTACTATCACTGATATCGAGCAATCCCTATTACTTGATTTTTTTTCCTTTCTAACATCAATATTGAAGCTGATGATACATCCAGTCCATTCCTAATGCAGTTCTGAGTGGAAATCTTAGTTTACGCACAGACTCTTTTAAAGATAAGAAGAAAATCTTGACAAGAAGAAAAATCTCCTTAGGCTGGGCAAATTGATAAATTATGAGAGCAATAAGGAATATAAGAAATACTGATGACATAACCTAGCACAGTGCTTGCTACTAATAATAATGATTCTGCTGCAGTACTTAAAAAAAAAATCAATCACAACAATACTATTAGCAATTAATTGCAAATATTGTTTAAAGAAAATAAACAAACAAAAAAAGTCAAGACAACAGTCAGCACTCTCCAGACTGGCAGGTAAAAGGCAGTGCCAAGCAGAGACACTGGTGGGGCAGCATGTGCGAGGAGCGAAGGAGAAGGTGGGGCAGGGGGTGCAGCAGGTTGGGGGATGAACAACAGAACTCCTGTGGGCACAGGATACGGGTGGGGAAGCAGAAGGTGGTGCGGACTGCTCTCATCCTCTGGAGCTGTGGCTACGTGTGGAGGATGACTTAAAGACAGAGATAAATTGAATAATCATGAAGAAAAATGGTAGGGTTCCTAATGAGGATATAATCCATTACATCTACTGAAACTTTCACTACAAACCTCAAACACCTTTCCAAACAGTTTTACAAAAACAAGTATGGGCATGTGGGAGAGCAGACTGTGAGTTAAAGTTTATTTCTCCGTATATGGGATCCTAAACATAAAGCGATAGAAGATTAGCACCTTATACCTCTTACCCACGTTATAAATATTTGTATAATTAAGACCACTAGCACTCCACAATTAAATCTCCTTTTCAACCTTTTTTACAGTCTTGTGATTCTAATTCAATCTAATGGCAACATCTTCTATTATGTCACATGCCGGGCTTTGTACAGCAAAGCCAGCAACTATTTATTTGTTATCTACAGTAAAATCAAAACTGTACAAGCATATCTGGATTTTTGTGAAAAAAAGGAAAAAAACCAAACCTGAAGCCCTATTTTGACAGTTTTTTTGAAAATCAAGAAGCTTTGGTGGAGGTGAAACTGGTGGATTATACTTGCAATTAATTCCTTTTCATAATCTTAAAAGCAAAAAATAACTTTAGACCAAAATCTTGAAAACATAGAATTTCGCGATTAGGAAATCTTATGAGACAGCTGATAGATATCTACTAAGTACCAGCTCTAGCAGTCTCCTACTTCAACAACTTGAGACAGAAGATTTATTTTAAACTCAGCAGTGGTTGCATTATTTCCAACCTTTCAAATGACATATCCTCAAGAAAGTGTGATAAAAGATGCACTTTATTATTTGGCCTTATGTTCAATAAATTGTTCTCGTTACACTACCATCTCCACAAGTAATGGAGTAACCATGGTACGTGTCTAAGGTGCATGTACATAGGAAGCTTCGTGATACAGATGTCAACGTCTTGCACTGCATGAGCCTTTTGTGCTGCCCCTCCATCCCAAAACCTCCTCCACCTTGCCGGGGCAATCATCAGCAGTGGATGTGAGGCACCAAGCTGGGATACTGTTTTGTTTAGACTCAGAAAGATTCCTTCTTCAGAACTGAAATTAAGATGACCCAATTCTAGCAATTTCCCTTCTTTTTTCTCATTAGCTCTCCGAATGATTCTATTTTGCGTAACAACTAGCAAACCTGCACACACTGTGCTCCAGGGGAGGACCCATCTATGTGCAGTACCCAGCACCGAAAGATCCCAGATCCAACTGCTAACATAGGACAAATAGTTTGTAACAAGATGACTGGACATCTGTAACTCTCTTGAAGAAATTAGTCTAGAGGTGGTTTCTACCAAAATGACAGTGTCTATGAAGGACAGTTTTATTTATCTAGGATATATTTTGTAGAGTAGGAAAATGCATCTGTAAAACTGGCAAATCCTTGACAGAATGGGGATATGCCATAAATACTGCAATTTTAGCTTCAATTAAGAAGCCAACTTCTCAGATGAAAACTCATTTTTTTAAAAACCTCTTCTCCCTCCACACACAATATAAACCGTTTGTGGGGATTCATCACTACAAGCACTTGAAATCACTTCTGCCTCCAAATTCATCTGTACTGAAATGCATGATCCGCACTACAGCCAGCACTGTGAAAGATGCTGAATGGACTGCGGATGAGAGAGTCACTGAACAGCAACGACATTTGGCAAGTTCTTGTCTCCAAGGCTTATGCTCACACCACGGTACTCACCCTGTATCTGAAAATAGGAAAAATCCATGAAGAGTTATCAACCGCTGGCAATGTGGGGTTTATTTTCATCATCTTTAGGCTACCTCAGTTCTTTCCTTTCTACAACTACTAGCATATAATGCAGTCCGTAGACTGCATGACTTGTTAAGAGAAATATACATCACAATGTGAAGGTCTAGGAGAGGTTTGATTCATTGGATTCAGGGTTCTTTCAGCGCTTCAGGTTCTTTTCCAGTGCTTTCAGTGTTTCAGATTCTTTTTTTTTCAGTGCTTTTTTATTTAATTGGGAAAAAGAAGAGCTATACAAATAAACAATATCCTATCAGAAGATTATCTATCAAATACAATTAACACATTTGGCCTTAGACTAAAACAAGTCACTAAGTCATGAATATTAAAAAATCATACCAGATGGCAGGTCATCCGAAGGAAACTCAAACAACTTGGATTTGTAAACAGAGTGGAAATGGAAGTCATCCTGAAATAGTAAATAATTGCATGTATTAAACCTGGATAAACTAATCCATCTCATGAGCATTAAATAGACAGTTCCAAAGGTCCTTGTTATCCAACACCTACACTAGCAAACATGCAAGCTGCAAAGCACCATTACTCTACACTCTTCTCCTTTTCCCAACTGTGATGTGATCGCTAACGCCGCAGTTAATGATCTTTTATTTGAAATATCTGAGTACATCCAACGGAGTGGCTGAGCACTCTTAGAGCTAGGCTTAAGAGAGCTGCCCAGGGAACATCAATGAGAGTCATAGGAGCTGTTGAACTGGAGTCGAGGCTGAACCGGGAAGAGAGGGATGTAATAAATCCAGAGCAGGAAGTTCCAGAGAAGGGGACAGGGCACTCACAGACTTCTCCTGCTGGCTCCAAGGGACCCTGAACACCCTCTGGAACTGCACTGCTCTACATCCAAGTGTTACAGAGTACACACATATACACATACCACTGCCTAATTTTTGGAGGTCTACTTTTGTCTGTGATGATGAGGACTTACATATGAGGTAAATGAATTGGCAATGAGGGGATGACCCTTTGGTCCCAGAGCCTTACGCCTACCCTGTACCCATGAATGTCTGTATTCAACAAACAACACAGCAGGACTACTATAAGTTCTACTTACATCTGAAGTGTAGTTTTCATCTGGCTCAATAAGGTAAGTATGATTTCCATCATAGAACATCCCACTGTCAAGAGCAGGAAATGTAAATACTGATTTAATAAACAAGTACTAGTGCAACACGGAAGTAAGTTTAAGAAGTTCATCTATTTTAAAAATTTAAATATTTAGAAAAGGAAGCAGTTAAAAATGGTTTCAGGAACTGAACCTAATTCTGAGCCAATCTTTTGCTTCTTCGCTTCAGAAAGAAAGATATTCTCTCCCATGGTGATATAGACACTTCTTTCTTCCCCAAAGCTTCTCTACAACACATATAAACACCACAAAAATTGGCTAATTTAGCCAAGTGAAAATCCAGTTCAGAGCCCCCACTCCCATGCAAGAGAGATCTACCTGCAACAGATAAATAAGGGACCTGTCTTTAGGAACACGCATATTTGGAACATGCACATAGCTTTCCCCCAAACAAAAATATTGTTGAATTGAATTGATCCTTAGGTTTTAATGGTTTTGGTTAACTCCTTCCTCAGTAATTTCATATAGTACCAAGTACAAAGGGCAGTATGGGCTCTTTTGGGCAGAGGGCTCTTTTGAGAATTTCGGCAATAATAATTATGACAGATGGTCTTTTCTTTTTAAATTGAGTTAGTTTAAGTTTATATTTCTATGAAACTAATGGCTATATGCATTATCACATCAATATGGACATTATATGATGTTCATGATAAGGAGATAGGAAACCCCATCAGACAGGCTTCCAATGGGTTGTGGTGAAAAGAGATACAAAGGAGCAAGCCTTCTGCCATACCCATGGTTCTGGCCAAGTACTCATGGTCTCTTTCTTAATGGCATAAAACCCACAGAAATTTGAAGGTCATTCACGATAAGCACACTGCTATGTATCTCAGAAAATCTGTCACCTTCCTTGCCTGCACACAATCACCAATTTTCCATATTAAATTCCAACACACAGTTCAACTCTAAATGAAGAACAAACTGAACTGTTAAGGCTCTCTAAATGGATGAAGATAGTCTGTGACAATAACACCAGATTCTTTTGCATTACCACTCGAATGTACAGCAAAGATGAGGTCCATTCCTGCAGGGATGTTTTCTATTAAGAGTTACCTCACATCTACTTAGGTAAAGAGTGTACTGAGGTTTAGCCTTTAACATAATGCAGGATGCACAAGTGTGGTCAAACTGCACCTTAAAAGAAGGTGTTGATACAGACATTACTCTGTAAGAGCATAAAGCCAAAGGGCATTTCTTATATCACTACCACCCTGATCTTCAATCAAATCAGCATTTTTTTGTAATAATTTTGCCTTTATTGCAGTGGCATACACGCATGGTTGGGATTAGGCTGTATCACCATGTCCCTTTCAAAGTGCCACTACCAAGGGCTTTAAACTTGGCCATAAATATGAGCTGTAAGTTCAAACTTGGCACATGGTACACAACAGCAGCATGAAAGCAAGATTATTTATTTATTTAGATTACTCTTTAGCAAACTTTTAGGCATCAACCTCCCCCCCCCCGGGAATTATAAACAACAAAACCAGATACTTTTCTTTTTTCTTATGCAGCTTTTTTTTTTAATCAGCAAAACTGATTTTGGTTCTGCACAGGACCAGATGCAGTCAGTAAAATACTGTCATTCTTTTCCTGACTATTAAGAAATATAAGCATATATCGTACCATTCACAGAAGTAGCTTGGGTTACTGATTGTACAACATACATCAAGTGTGATCATGACTATATCTACAATATAAAGCTGTTTCACCTTTCCAATTACCTGTGCCTATTCTTTAAAAATAAATACTGCCTACACAGCTTAAGATAAATATTCTAGCACCTGCTGAAGCTTCTTTGCCTGGGAATAAGATGAGACTCGGGGACATCCTGCAGCTCTTAATCAGGCAAAACTTCCTTCCCTCTAATTGCAATTTTACTTAAGCACAGTCTGCCAAGATGAAGCGCTATCAGCAAACAGCTTCTCATGCAACTGTTGCACCCAGCAGCACTGACCTCTGATCAAGTCACTCAACAGTGACAAGAACAATAGTCACGGCTGACCTACAGATCTGACTTGCCCACTCAAAGCGTTCATGGCTCTTTTCCAACTGACTTCGATAGTCCAGTGCTCTGCGAACAAATCACACGCTCACGGATGTGTTAGAGAGAAAGCAATAGCAACACACAGGCCATTTCAAAAACCTGAATTTTGATTATGTGTATTCTTCAAACAAACAAATTTGTAGTCGTGAAAGTCTGATTTGCAGTAATAACAGCAGTTTTTATATTCACCACCAGTGGGCAGCAAAATCATAGACCAACCTGATGTCCGTGCAACTCGCAACACAGGACTGCAAGTCGTGCCTGACTATAGCTTACTTATATCCCAGCAACCAGTGTGTTTTGCATTCAAAGTTTTTTGTGTTAACTCATAGCAAACTGTGGTTACTGCATATCCCACAGAAAACAAAAAAAAATCCAAACAAAATGGCTCGCTCTGAGTTAAGGTTGCAGAGACACATTTTTCATTAGAAAAGTCATTAAGAAGAGAAGACATTCGTAATTTTAAGTATTCTGTCATCCAGACATCTGATTAATTTAACTAATAAAAGGAAGACTGCAACATAGACATTAACAACAGAAGAACTCATAATTTATGATTAAAAAAACCACAACATTTTCTCACGTGTGTGAAAAATTCTGCTGTTACTGGCCAAGATCGAGGGGTACTAACAAGTAAGAGAGGAGATTAGCATGAACTTCGGGAATATGAAGCTTGTTATTCTAGTAAAGGCATCTGTTCTGTCTTATGCACTTCCTAAAATTCATGAAAGCAAAGCTCCTGCCCTGCAGACCTTATTAGAAGATAACTCTCCCCAGATTCCCTTATTCCAGCAAGACGCTCCAAACTATGGTTGGAGCTAAGGAGCTCTGATTGCTGGTGTGAGTTTCTAGCAATTATTTAGCATTTAAAATTGACTCTGCAGGAGCTAGTTGTAATGATGGAAATGCAGTGTCAGAGAATGTGAGTTTAATACAGCTCAGGAAAACATTACTTTCTCATACTGGATGTTGGAATTACCAGCCTGCTATAGTAAGCTTCATATTGCATTTTGTGTGAAGGATAACTCTGCTGAAACTTTGTTGTGTAAGGAAAAAAAAGATACCTCTCAAGGGAGAGCTGAATTATACAGGGAAAAAATGCAGCTTTCATCACATAACTGTGTTAGAAGGGACCGATTTGAACATCAGGCAATTTAAGAATACAGAGCAGCAGGAGGGTCAGTCTTAAGAACAAACCCACAAAAGGAGGGCAGGAAAGGACACGCGCAGGCTCTCCTTCCTTTCTGCTTTTTCTCCTAAGAGTTAGCAGGGGCCAAGACCTAATGGATCACTGCTAATGGAAGCCATGCAGTGGCTCAGGATGTGTTCGGATGCTACTATTTTTAGGCTCACTGTCCATACTGAAACTGGGCTCAGGTTTCTTGAGCTGCTCAACCTTGATCATAAAAGAGAGAAATACAGCTGTAAATCAGACAAGTGCAAGGATGACAAGCCTTCTGCATGCATTCTCCCTCTTCCTAACAAAGGACATACAAATATAAAAGAAAGACACTACTTAAATATGTGTATTATATGGCTGATACCATAACTACAGAATAGTTGGAGACAGACAATAAGCTGAAGATTTCCATCAGCTAAGCCCTGCTTCCTCAGAAAAAGGCAAAGCTCAGGTAATCTCCACACAGGCTTGCTTGCTGCCATGACTTTTCAAGCTGATCTCAGTATCAAAAGCGCTGAGATTCCGTAATTCCCAGATTCAACAGACACTGAAGTTACTTGGTTGCTCTGAAAACCTGACTGGCATCTTTCAATAGTGCCAAAAGTAGACAGGTCCAAAAGCGGTACAATTAACACACAGCTCCATGTAACCTTCAGATAACAGACGCTTTAATTATATTGTCACTAAAATGATGTACTTTAAAAAAAATTATTATTGCACAATTTTATATCCTTTCTTCCAGATTTTCCAAGATTTTACTATATCAAAGGTATTATCCCATGCACACAGCTTAAGGCCAGCAATTCTGTGAAGAAAATGAACAGGACAAGAGAAACTCTAAACTGACACTTTCCTTTGTAAAGAGAGTAGAAAAGAAAGATAAAATACATCATTGTAGCAACAAGAAAAGAACATAATTTCCAAATGGTTCATGTCAATACTGGCAGTATTTTTTATTCTTGTAGAACAGAATGTTTTCAGCTACTTTTACACTTCTATCTCTATAATAAATTATCTTAAAACAATACCTGGCCACTGTCATATGTTCTCAGTTTAAAAAAAAAAAAAAAAAAAGAAACTTGCATGCTTTGTCAGTGAATTCTGAAAACAAACAAACAAGGCTTTTGCAAGGTTCAAATTAAACCCATTTTTTCTAAAGATTGTTGAGTAGTTAATATTGGTGACAAACTAGCAGGAAAATAAATAGCACTTATTTTACTATAAAGAGCTTTATTTTGCTTAAAAGACTAATAAGCAAAGGCCAATAAAACCAAAACAGCAGACTTACTGTAATCCATGGCATGTTGACAAGGCAACAAATGATACAGGATTTCCTCGAATTTCTCCCTGATAATAGCAATGTTCTCCTCCCTGAAATTGGAAATTGAGACCGTAAATCCACAGGACGTCCCACAGAATCACACTCGATCCTGTCAAACACTGCTTTTTCATAAATACATTGCCAACCCACTGACATGGCACCAAGAATTTACTATCCCATCTCCTTTTAGCCATGGTTTGGCACCTAGATAAACATCATCATTTTGACTCTCTATACAGAATGGAGATATTTTCAGTGTGAAATCCATAGCATCCCAAGACAGATTTCAGAGACAAATGACTCCAGAAGTGCTCATCTTTCTTCACTGACTAGGAAAAGAGTTGGAAATAAGGGGCTTAGACTCATCACCTGGTCTGCACATGGCTACATTGGGCTAGATGAACTCTGCTCTGAGGGTAAGGCAATTTCCTACTTCTGAGGAGAAAGCTATGCTTATCAAATAATAATAATACTTGATTAAAAAAGAGAACAATTCAGAAGTGCTCAGAAGTGCTCACTAGTGCTCCAAAACTAATGGAAACTTTAAGTATAACTACGCAGTAAAGGAATACAATGAAAATTAGTATTTGTCTCTTCTGCAAATAAAATATACACGTTTCACATCAAATCCAGCAGACCTTACTCAAAAAATCCCCCCTTAGTTTCACAGAAGTCACACCCATAGAGATGTAAGCCCTACTGCACGTGCACTGAATGTATTCAGTATGTAAGCAAAATTAGGAAAACAATTCAAAATTCCCTTAAATTCTCACTGCCACTCTACCCTGCAGAGCAACTTAGCTAATAGTGCCTTGCCAAATTCAGCCATGTCGTATTACTGCACTACTGTTGGTTAAAGGACTATGAAGAACATTTTCAGTGCCTTTTTTTTTTTTAATAGCAACACTTTACTATTTCTATTCGCTACCAGCAAATGTATGAATAATCTACCTAGCCTAATGTATGCAGCCATGTGAATATTTCTGTCCATTTACTGCAGGGAGGGAAAGGCATTACAATTACTGCTTGCATAGTACAGAGTACAGCACTTGCATGATGCATAGCACAGTCATTTTAGACATCTGACATTAAAAGCTCTTGGATTTTATTTTTCAAATATGAAAAAAAATTAATCATGATCAGGCAAAACGCAATAGAATATGTTGGTAGTTTTGTGTTTTGATCAGAAAATCCTGTTCTGTTTTCTATAAGGCATGAAAAATATTTTTGAAATTAACTATGAAGTATGGGTGCCTCTGTTTTGAGGTGCTCTCCTTCAGAGAGTATAGGAGTTTGTCAGAGTGTGGCTGCTCACCGGGAAAGAGACCTGATCTCAACCTGGTCACTGGAAATCATTAGTTCCTCCTCAAAATCTTCTCTGGAGCATTCATGCATGCCGTGCTGCTGTTGGACCCCAAAGCACTCCGTGCAGCGCACCTGGAGGCGGCTTGCAGCTGCCATGACCAGCAACAGCAGCAGCAGCACTACAGAGAAATGCAACACCTGATCTGACAGACTACGAGTCTGACGCTGTTTGGCAGGCTTGTTGCTTCACTCTGCGAGGAGAATCCCTGTGGCATATCTTCCGTTAAAAGCGTTACACTTTATTTTTTTTCCAATTTCTTTCAATCTCCTTATTTCCTCTCTTCTACATACCACTTCTTCCTTCCACTTCCTGCAGTGACAGCAGCCACCTCCACTGCCTATCCACCTCAGTGTCTTTTTCTCTGTGCATCTGGTACAGATACAGAACACCTTCACCAAACTGACCTGCAGAGTGACCATCGTGCTACCCACCATGGGCACCTTCCTACTAAGACGTCTGCAGGAAAACACTACTGGTGCCGTGCAGGTAGTGTTCGACAGGCTGTGCTGATGTTTAACTGGCTCGTGGCCACGAGAAGCTCTGGGGCTGACCCTCCATACCAGGCCTCAGCTGGGTGTCTGGCGGAAGACGTACAACCCACCACCCTTGGACCAGCATTTCTCAGGACCATCAAGCATTTGGGCCTCAGAGTACAAGTGAAAAGGAGATGGTTTGAGTTTCTGTTTTGCACTCACACGCGTTTTAGCCACCAACATCCTAAGTTACATGGGATTTTAGACAGACTACATCTTACTTTGTTTTTCCTGAAACCTTGGCTCATTTTCTCTATTTTATTCTCCTTTTTTTACACCTACTTACTTCCTGTATCTTAGTTGCTTTAAGCTCTCTTCATTTGATTTTTTCTTTCTTTCAGTCTGTAGGATGCCCTCCACTACAGGATCACAGTACTGCTTAACGCTTTCAGGTCCTTCCGGAATATATGAATAAAAAGTGAAGAAAGAGAGACTCCAGTAAGCTAATAACAAAACTAACAATCAAACTATATGGATGAGCTAAAAGCTTATGAGTAATAAAATACTCTTAAAACAGAACTCTTGCAGGAGTATTCCTATAAAAGATATAACTGGAGTAAACACATGAATATGGTAGTAATACTGAAAAGACTATCAGTAGGGAGTTGTACAGAGTTCTAGCTGTGGAAGGAATTTGGAGTAATTAGACAAATTGGTTTGTTCTCAGAAAATGTAGTTAATATGTACCAGAAGTAGAATCTCAGGCTCCATTAGTTTGCAAAACCATGTCTTTGTAACCAGGAGGAACATTTTTTCATACTAAGAATCCAAGTCTGTGGCTCAAAAGTGTGTTTTGATCTTCTTAATGAGAATCAAATAAATGCCTCATGATAGTACCTCCAAATTAATTTATTCCATAATAAATCCATGAACAAATTTTTATGCATGCAGATCTAGAAAAGAAAAATATAAGAAAAACAGCTCCAAATTCTTGTCTAGGAAAAACATAACTCAGACACACAAATTCTATTCTATTCTATTCTATTTAATCACATCAATTCAACTCATTGATCTACTGAAGTTCACAGTAATTCTGGTGGAGACAGAAATATAACTGATCTTTCCAGTCTCAGGGACCGATTCTTACCACTACAAAACATTTATTTCTACATGCTAACATCTGGGGGATATTTTTTTACACATGGACTTACGTTCCTATCAACATAATGTAAGTCACCTCAAACCAGTTAATAAAATTTAAGGGGTTTAAACAAAAATAGCTTTTTTCAAGTACTTGATGCACTAGTGGTGTGGTGTTGGGTTTTTTTTAAGAGAACTCTTCAGTGTAAGAAATCCTGCTGTCAGGATACTCCTAAATGAAGGTCTGAGGATTGTTACAATCTCAGCAAGGAAATAAGAGGTGATGCAGTGAAACCAGATGGCACTAGCACTGGATGGCTCTGGGAAGAGTGATGGCTTAGCACTCCTTAACAGTGTCTCAAGGGGATAAAACATGCCAGTAACATGTGACACATGGTGGGGAGGGTGCAAATTGTATATTGTACTTTTGGGAGACTCGTTTTCAACAGTTCACAAAACCTGTGAAGAGAGAAGCACTTAAAGCTGCGAAGTCTGGGACTGGTTCTGTACTGAGAGTCAGGACAACTGAAGGGACTCCACAGGTCAATGTTTTCTTTAGAGCACATGTAATTTTGGACAAGTTGTTTACCGTCATTGCCTGCCTGTAATGCTGAGGCTGAAATCCTGTTGGTTTTGACATGTACTAAAGCTCCTTTATAGCTGTAATAAAATACACTGTACTACAGGAAGAATTGCAGTATATGGGAGATCTAAGACCACCAAAACACTAAACGTAACCATCACATCTATCTTCTTTTACTCTGCTCCTGGAAACACTCACTGAAGGACTGGGGTTGTCTCTCTCCTCTATTGGTATCTGTAGCAGTGAGACAGGAGCTGAAAAAAAATCTTCATTTTTTCCTAAATATATTCTGGTCCCATATGAAAATTAAGACTTCCCCCAAGAACTGAAATTAGCACCTTTACCAACAACAGTTCAGTCCAGAGCATCAAGGGTGTTTTGTGAAGAACTATTGGCTTCCTGTAGCTATTAGAGCCCCTCTCTGCTCTCTCAAAAGCAGGCAATAATTGCCCATCTCAGCAAATCAAACCTCCACACTGGCCTTTGTCAGCTACTGGGGAATTTTTTTGTGTTAAGGTGAAGAGGAAATAAGACTGCTTTTCTAACATATGCCAGCCATCAGGGTGAGCCATCATTTACCCCTTTCTGCTCTAAAACCGAACCTGACCAGTGTAGAGTCTGGGAGAAAATTAGGCTAAATATCATCTCCCATGAGACAAGGTCAGCCCGGTGATAATGCCTGTGACACAGGCCTGCAAAACACACACACACACACACCCCCCCGCAAGGCAAATTTTCTGCCAATGCCCGTGGCACATGGTTGTCCGTTTCGTCGGTTCAGTAAGTTCTCCTTCATGAAACCGCTCAGCCTTACTGGTGACTTCGGAGCAATACAGAATATACAGATCTTTAATAAGAAGTCTATTGATTTGGGGAGCTAAAAATGTAATAACATCCTACCAAAAAAAAAAAAAATCAGAATGCCCCCAGGGTCAATTAAAACAAATGAATCATTATGATAGTGGTCAGTTTATGACTTAATCTTCATCTTGATGCTTAAGTTGGATAATTATAGCAAAATCCTGAATTAGGGTTATCTTGCCCTGTGAACTGCTACAGCTCCTCACCAACAAGCATGCAATCCTTTTTGCCCTTGTCAATCCGAGTTTCCCTGCAGTCTGTCTGGGTAGGTAGTGTGGCAAAGATACTAAAAAATGAGAAGGCAGAGATGTTAGCAATGTAAGTAAAATCTGTCCCCATTTCTATCCTTTAAGATAGTTTGTCCCTGCCCAGAGAGACACCAGCTGCTGAGTAAACACAAAAGAGAAGAAAAACACATTAACTGATATTCACAATGAAGGGGGGAAATAAGCAAAGCAAAAGAACAGCCACGAGAGTCAGTGATGGCGGCGGTTCACTCTTCTCTGCAGTCTCAGTGAAGAAAGAATCTGCTGACCATACACTGACAGTGTTTGTTATTCACCTCAGAGACACTATGACCTTCCCAGGGGAGGAAAATTAAGGATGCACATTCATCTGCTTTCAAAT